TTGTCACATATTGGGTGATTTTCAAAGAAGATGAAGCACTGTTTTCCTTGCATTTTTCATACTAGCATAGTGATCTCTAGCAATTGCCTATTGTTCATAATTGGGGCGTGCTGTAAAATCAGTGCTTGGTTAGGTGATAGAGATAACTTTTATCCCAAGGGTATGAAATGGTGTAAATGTACTTTGTTCAAAGTTCCAGGGTTTTTTGTGTGTTTTATTTTTGTATGATGTTGTTAAACCAAGTTTTATCACCATCCTATTTATTGAGCACTATTTATTTTTTCAGTATAGGTATATTCAAACTGAATTTATAGTACTATATAGGTATTTTTGTATGACCTACAAAGAATGTGCTGCCCTAGCAGGTTTGGCTTAGTGGATAGAGCCTCATTCTGTGGACTGAAGGGTCCCAGGTTCAATTCCCATCAAGGGCACATGCTCAGGTTGTGGGCTCAATCCTCAGTAAGGGTCATATAGGAGGCAGCTGATCAATGATTGTCATCATTGATATTTCTGTCTCCCTTCTCCCTCTCCTCTCCCTCCCTCTCTGAAATCAACAACAACAAAAAAAAAAAAAAAAAAAAAAAAAGAATGTGCTAAATGTTTACCTGCTTTAGAAATGGATTCTTTTGGGATATGATGCCTAAAATTTCAAGATTAATTTTATTTTATACATTTTTATTCTATTTTGTTTATTTGAAATATAGGTAAAGAAAATTGATTTCTTTTTCATTTAAGCACAATCTTGTGACTAGAACATAGGTGAAATTTTATATTTATTATTTTGATTCTTTTTTAAAAAAAAACCTGTTTTTATTACTTTTCATAGAGAGGGAAGGAGAGAGATGGATAAAAACGTTGTTGGTGGCCTCCTACACGTCCCTTATAGGGGGTAGAGCCTGCAATCCGTGCCCTGATGGGGGAATCAGACCCATGACCTCTTGGTTTCTGGGTCGACTCTCAACCACTGAGCCACATAGGCCAGGCTGGTTTTTGTTTTGTTTGTTTTCTGGTATTTTTAAAAAAATATATATTTTATTGATTTTGTACTGAGAGGAAGGGAGAGAGATACAGAGTTAGAAACATCGATGAGAGAGAGTCATCGATCAGCTGCCTTTTGCACACCCCCTACTGGGGATGTGCCCGCAACCAAGGTACATGCCCTTGACAGGAATCGAACCTGGGACCTTTCAGTCCCCAAGCCGACGCTCTATCCATTGAGCCAAACCGGTTTCGGCTGTTTTCTGGTATTTTGAGGTCCCTGCTTGAAAGGCCATTTTGCTGTTTTTTCCTCCAGGACTTTTGCTTTCTGGTGCCAGACATGTTTTGTTTTTGTTTTGTTTTTACTGATTTCAGAGAGGAAGAGGGAGAGACATCAGTGTTGAGAGAATCATTGATTGGCTGCCTCCTGCACACCCCCTGCTGGGGATTGAGCCCGCAACCCAGGCATGTGCCCTTGACCAGAATTGAACCTGGGACCCTTCAGTCCGAAGGCGGTCACTCTATCCACTGAGCCAAATCAGCTAGGGCCAATCTAACGATTTTAGAAAAAAGTAGCGTCCTATACATGGAAAACTATGTATAGTTTCTGTCTTGCTTTCCCATTTGTTATTTTTCGTATTCAATATTCTAATGTAGATTTTGATAGAAAATAATTCTTATTCTTTAGAAGTTTTGTTTGCTGAATTGATGACGAATGTAAAATGTATGATCCTATTTCGCCTATTAATTTCATATGCCCCTTTGTTTTGGGGTATTACTCAATTTTTTCTCTATAAAAATCTTTTGGAAAACATAATTATCTCAAAGTTCTTAATTATGTGTATGGTGACCAATTTTAACCCTGGTGTATCCATCTTCTTGGTGAAAGCTCTAATTTCTCTTAATTGCTTCTACCTCACATGTTTTTATAAAAATTATTACTGGAAGTTTTTATTAAATAGTTTTCTACCATTAGATTGTACTGTGTTCATTATTAATACTGAATAATAATTAAGTTCAGCATCGCCCAGCACTTTTTCCTGGTACTGACAAGTGAAACAATGCTCTAATGATGAAACCAAGGAGTGCTGACATTACATAACAGGAAGGGTCCTAAGATAATGTTGGTTCCTGGGAGTGAGATGAGTAAGAAGTTTTTTGGTTTAGGCAGTAGTGCTGCTTTCTGAGTGAGTATGACCTCTACAGTGAAGCCCTACGGAAGAAGAACCCGAGGAAGAGTTCTAAATTTTCAGTCATTCGTGAACCTGTCTTGGTTACAAGATTCTAGCCACTATATATATTTTCTCTTTATTTTAATTAAGTTTATTGTGTGGCATTGGTCAACATGTTCTACAGGTTTCAGGTGTGGGTTGTGTGTTACAGGATCTGTATGTTACACTGTGTGCTCACCACCCAAAGTGAATCTTCTCCCGTCACTGTATATAGGACCCACTTCTTCCCCCACCTCCTTCCCTCTGGCCACCACCGCACTGCTGTTTGTGTTCACAAGTTTTTGTTTTATATTTGACATATCAGCAAAATCATATGGTTCTGTACTTTTCCTGACTTTAAAAATGTATTTTTATTGCTTTCAGAGAGGAAGGGAGAGGGAGATAGAAATACCGATGATCGATCCCCACTGGGGACCTAACCTTGCAGAGGGACCAGAGGGAAAGACATAGCCTTTCTTACTGATCTCTGGCAGCCCCTAGCAGCCAGTCCTATGAGTTTCTGGACTTGGCAAGACTAGGCTAGGCGCTTATCTAGCAGATCCTAGATAAGGGAAATGCCTGCAAGCAGACCAAGGACAAACAGCCCAGTGACTGTTAGCTATCAAGGATGTGGGAAACACTCCTATCCTGCTGCTGTGCCCCTCGGACTGGGAGGGGGAACTGGGCCATATCCTGGCCTCACCCTACAAAAGGTCAATAGAAAAATAGGCTCAAGACTTGAACAGTCTCTTTGCAAAAGAGAATCTGCAAATAGCAAATAAACTCAAGAAAAGTATTCAATGTCATCAGTGTGATATAAAATAAACCCAGCATACAATCAGCTACCCAGTCGATTGGCCAAAAATGAAGAAATTCGAGCATTAGAATGGACATGGAGTTACAGAACGACTAAATTGCTGATAGGAGTGTTGTGAGAAGAGTTTTTAAAATAATTTGGCATTATCTAGTAAATTTAAGAAAGGTCTATCTAGTGAATTTAAGAAAGGTGTACCTGATTTCCAATAGTTCTATTTTTAATCATATGCTTTTAAGGCTGTTTTGCATATAAGCACCACTGTTCTAGATATGTACAACCTAGAACAACCCAACCTGGAAACTCCTCATGGACATAGATAATATGTTCAGCAAGTGAAACGAGTAACAAAATCCAGTGTTATTCCATTTGTGAAATTTTATAAACGAACTACATTGTTTAAGGGCACATACTTGAGTGGTAGTAACATACAGAAAAGCAAGCAAAGGGCCCTAGCTGGTTTGGCTCAGTGGATAGAGCTTCGGCCTCTGGACTGACTGAAAGGTTCACTAGGGCTGAATCCCCAGTAGTGGACGTGCAGGAGGCAGCCAATCAATGATTCTCATCACTGATGTTTCTCTTCCCCTCTCCCTTTCTCTCTGAAATAAAAAATAAATAAATAAATAAAATAAAAAAATATATATATATATATTAAAAAGAAAGGGAAAGGAAATGATTCTTTTAAAAGTCAGGATAGTTTTTACCTCCGGAGGGGGACTGTGAGTGAGGGGTGCCTGGTGGCTTTTCCCGGGGAGGATGCTCACTCAATCTGGCAGTGGTTACCCAGCTGACCATTTTATGATGGTTCTTTATATGTTTTATACATTTTATCCATGCATGACCACCTCACAATAAATAAAATTAAAAACCGAAAGCAGTAAAGAGGCATCATAGGACTTGATAATGGCCAAAGTGGTGATGAGAACACGTCGCCCGATTTTCACGAACAATCTTTTTCTATTTTTTTTTTTAAAGAAAATATGTTATTGATTTTCCACAGAGAAGAAGGGAGAGGGATTGAGAGCTAGAAACGTTGATGAGAGAGAAACATCAACCATCTGCCTCCAGCACACCTTTACCGGGGATGTGCCCGCAACCAAGGTACATGCCCTTGACCGGAATCGAACCTGGGACCCTTCAGTCCGCAGACCGACGCTCTACCACTGAGTCAAACCGGTTTCGGCTCTTTTTCTATTTCTAGCAACTGCTGGTCTAATAGCCCACCTTTCCCAGCCCGACATGGGGCCATCTGACGTGAAGTTTTCCTCTCTCCGTTAAATGAGAAGACGCTGGCTTCACCCCGACACCCGTTTCCTTTGATTAATACAATGGTTCCTCCTTGCTTTTTCCATCATTTAAAGACTTTTCAGTTACAGTTGACTCAACAGCATCATCTCAGCGTCAGGCGGACAGCCCAGTGGTCAGACATCACACCATCTGCGCAGTGGCCCCCCCAGGCCGGCGTCCTCCCTGCGGTCCACAAGCGGGAGGTACCGGTGTGGCCGGCAGCTTCCGCCGGCGGCTCACCGCTTCCGGTTTCCTAAATCCTCCGCTCCCGGGGCCTGCGAAGAGGACCGGGAGCGCCCCGCCCTCCACCCCGGGGCTGAGCGCGCGCACGCGCCGCCTCTCCGGGGACGCGCTCCCGCGGCGCGACCGGGAGCCGCCCTCCGGCGCCCAGACCCCGGCCCTCCGCGCCCGTCTCCCGCTTCCGGCGCCCAGTCCCCGGCCCTCCGCGCCCGTCTCCCGCTTCCGGCGCCCAGACCCCGGCCCTCCGCGCCCGTCTCCCGCTTCCGGCGCCGCTGGGCCGGGGGTCCGCGCAGGCGGCTTTTCCGCTGCGGCCGCCGGCGCGCGCCCTCCGGCCGCCGGGAGCGCTGTGGGCCGCCGGGCCCGGTGCTGACGCCGTGGCGGCCGCCGCGCGCCCGAAGGGAGCAGCTGGGGCCCCGGCTGTCCCCGCCCGGGAGCGCGCCGCCGCCGCCGCCGCCGCCGCCGCCGCCATGGGTAAGGGGAGCGGCCCTGGGTCCCGCGTCCTGGGCTGGAGGCCGCGCCCGGCCGGGGGGACTGGAGGTGGTGGGCGCCGAGGCTCCGGATCGGAACGGGGGCCGGAGCCGGGCCCGGGCGGGGGCAGCCGGGGACTCGGGGGTGCCCGGGGTCACCATGGCAACGCGCGGCCGCCCGGGTCCTCCGGTCCCCGCGGGTGCCGGGGCCGGGTCGGGGGACAGTTGGGGTCGAGCGAAGACCCCCCGGGTTTGGGGTGGCGGAGGGATGGCGGGGCTCAGGTTTGGCCGGGGTGGGAGAGTGCGAGGGGGAAGACAGCGACGGCCGCAGCGCCTGTGTGACCCCTTCGCGGGGGTCCTGGGGCCCCCGGAGCCTTTGGGCAGCCTTGTGGGGGGACATGGGGAGGCGGGGCGGGGGCCCTAGGCCCCGGCTGGATGCGGGCACCGGCCCTGAGCGCGGCCTGGGGGCCACGACCCGCAGGCACGTCCGCGAGCCGGGATGGGGCGCGGCCCGGGGGGACCGCTCCTCTCTGCACCGACCTGCCTCCCGCAGCGGCGGAGGCGCCCTTTGTCCGCTCGCAGCAGCCGGCTGTTCAGGAAAAATGGAAATTTTCCATAGATTATGAAACACCCAGACGGAGTCCCAGCGCTGAGCCCACTGAAGAAATGACGGTGGAAATTTCCCACCCGCGCGCGGGATGGGAGCAGGTGTGGCTGTTTGCGGTCAGAGGTCAGAGCCGGGATGCTGGGTCCCTGGGACCCCGGACTTCTAGTTCAGGGAGGAAAAGCAGGCCCTTGGGGCAGGGAACTTTTTAGAGGATGGAACCTTTACTAAGAGCTTTGTTTTTCTGCACCTCGTCTTGTCACCTGTGTGTGCTGACGGTCCTCCTGCCCATTATGTTAATTTAAGGTATACAGCAGTGATGGGAGTATGGGGTAGCATCTGAATGTCTGAGCAAACTGCGAATACAGTTTGCGGGAAAGAAAAGATATATTTTTGTCAACTAAAAATGTCCATTGGCTGAAACCGGTTTGGCTCAGTGGTAGAGCGTCGGCCTGCGGACTGAAAGGTCCCAGGTTCGATTCCGGTCAAGGGCATGTACATTGGTTGCGGGCACATCCCCAGTAGGGGGTGTGCAGGAGGCAGCTGGTCGGTGTTTCTCATCGACGTTTCTAGCTCTCTATCTCTCTCCCTTCCTTTCTGTGAAAAGTCAATAAAAATAGATATATTAAAAAAAAAAAAAGTCCATTGAGATGGGTTTTTGAAATGTATCTTTTAAACTTGTTCTTCACCTGAATCAGCTGCGTGGAAGAACCTTCCTGTGAAGTTGGACCCTGTTTTTATTTCCTCTGGTCAAAGGGAGCAGTCATGCAACATAGGCCGAGAGTTGAGATGAAAAAGCTAGATAGTTAAAATGAATGGACCCGCTTATTTTGTTAGTGTGTTTTTATTTACTTGTCATGACTGTTACTCGTAAGACTGGAATCTTAGAATTTTAACTACCTTTTATTTTGTGGCCAATATCATTCTATATTTTTGCCTTGGAATTCATCTTTGGATGGTTCTTGCAAGCCACCTTTTGCATGAGACCTTTAAACATGTCTATTCGTCTAAACTTGTCTCTACAGAAATTCATGAAAAAAAACCCACACACACACCCCAAAAAAACCTCCTTCTCCCTGGAAAGGGGTTCCATAAAAGTAGAACCAATGCCAGGGACCAGCCGGTTTGCAGGATCGTGGGGAGAATTCATGAACTTGGGGGTGGGCATGATAGAGTTCTGTAGTGGATGTGAGAGACGTAAAGAGAAGTTGTAGGTTAGTTAGGAAAACTAATTTGTCGGACAAGGAAATGCAAGCCAGCTGTTGGTTTTAGAGGGGAAGGAAAGGGTTTGTACTGGTATATTGTTCAATGTCATGTCTTGCGAATGAAGTTGGACTCCTTTCTTGTGCTTTCAGCTACAAAAGACCCCACAGCTGTAGAGAGAGCAAACTTGTTAAACATGGCTAAACTGAGTATCAAAGGACTCATTGAATCTGCTCTCAGCTTCGGCCGCACTTTGGATTCTGACTACCCCCCCTTGCAGCAGTTCTTTGTTGTTATGGAACATTGTCTGAAACACGGTCTTAAAGGTATCATTTTTAAAATTAATTCACTTTAAGATCATTCCCTCCCTCCTCCGCCCCAGTCTTAAACATCCTTAGATATGTGGTGGTTTTGAGGCCATAATTACTGTTACTTTATATTTTAAAATACTTGGTGGGTTGGTTTTGGGAGAAAATGTCCTACTGTTTTGTTTTGAAATGGGTGGTCTTAGAAAATGCTTACTTGATTGTGTTTCGTTAAAAAGCATATTTAATTATTAAAATTTTCAACATACCCTGAGTTGGTTTCCATCTACTAGGACATTTATGGAATTATTTAAAAGCCGTTAAATTTGGTGATTCTGATATGAATTCTTATTAGTTTGAGCCCTATTGAACAAATACATAGAAATAGTTGCTCGTTGAGCCCTGCTGGCATGGCCCAGTGGTTGAGCATCGACCTGTTAACCAGGAGGTCACGGTTCAATTCCCAGTCAGGGCACATGCCCAGGTGGTGTGTTTGATCCCAATGGGGGGCTTGCAGGAGACAGCTGATTAAAGCTTCTCTTTCCTCATTGATGTTTCTATCTCTCCCTCTCCGAAATCAATAAAAAATATATAAAATTAAAATAGTTGGTTGAAATCTAAACCTCCTTAGAGCAAGGGAGCATGTCTTCTGGATTGGATTGTTGTAGAAATATGAGTACTCCCTGAAAACAATGATAATAGTGAATATTATTCTATACAGTTCATATTGAATAATGTGTGTAAAATATTTGTATTATATTTATTTTACATATGTTGTGTAGTAACTCTTCTTTTACTTAAAATAACTACTAATTTGCAACAGCCTTTGTGGCGGGGTTCAGGACCTGAAGGAGGGGCCAACACACAAATGCAAATACTGTACTAGAAATAGGGGTTTAGAAGGCATTGGGGCCAGGTGGAGCCTCTTTCTGGCCTGATCTGCTGTTTTCTTACTAGTCTTCACATTTGCCCTTTAGCAAGGATACAGGGATATCTAAAGTTTGGTAAATAGTAAGAGGATTATCAGGTTAGGGAATTGCCTCGAGCCACCACTATCTCAACAGATGAGGCGCTTAGCCTCAGCCCTGCTAAAGCCCTAGGTCCCTCGGCCCTCTGAACTCCTTGGAGATTGACAATATTGGCCTGCGGTGGCTCCCCGCACTTCTAATAACAGTGGTCGGCAGTTTAGGTCTTTAACTCATGTTATCGGCCTCTGTGTGGAGGGCTATCTAAGTTATATTAAGGTGACTACTATAAAGGAAAGGAAGCTTGGTTTTTTGTTTGTACTTGGAGCCTAAGTAGGTTAGGATGGCTTAGGAGTTCTGACTATGGTGCATGAAAGTGTGGGTTAATTTAAAAAGCAGAAGAGGATATTTATCTAAACATGGTTTTAATAAACTGAGGAGTCTTGGCACCAAAATTTGAGAAACCCTATGTGATATTATTCATGTACTCATTTATTTTTCTTTAAAATTTTTTAAAATTTATTTTCATTGAGATATAATTGACAAGTAACATTATATTAATCTCAGGTATACAACATAATAATTTGGTATTTGAAGTCATATTAAGAATGTTCACAAATGGCCGAAACCGGTTTGGCTCAGTGGATAGAGCGTTGGCCTGCGGATTGGAAGGTCCCGGGTTCGATTCCTGTCAAGGGCATGTGCCTTGGTTGCGGGCAAATCCCCAGTAGGGAGTGTGCAGGAGGCAGCTGATCGATGTTTCTCGATGTTTCTCTCTCATTGATGTTTCTCACTCTCTATCCCTCTCTCTTCCTCTCTGTGAAAAAAATCAATAAAATATATTAAAAAAAAAAAAAAAGAATGTTCACAAATGACTGAGATAAAAGTAGAAATCAGCTACAAGAAAAAACCCTGAAAACCACGAACACATGAAGGCTAAACAAAGAAGGGTTAATGAAGAGAACAAGGGAAGAAATTAAAAGGTACCTTAAGGCAAATGAAAATGAAAAGGCAAGACCCCATATCTAGAGGACACAACCAAAGCAGTTCTAAAGAAAAATTTATAGCTCTGTAGGCAAAGCTAATAAGTAAATCTCAGTTTAAAAATATAACCTTACACCTAAAGAAACTAGAAAAGTAACAAAGCACAAATAAAGGACATAGTAAAGAAATGAGTAGCTCAGCCACTGTGACTCAATGTTTGAGCATCAATCCATATACCAAGAGGTCCCTGGTTCGATTTCCAATCAGGACACATGTCAGGGTATCCAGGTTGCTGGGGCTTGAACCCCAGCAGGGGGCATGCAGGAGGCATTCTCTCTCTCTCTCTCTCTCTCTCTCTCTCTCTCTCTCTCTCTCTCTCTCTCTCTCTTTCCCTCTCTCCCTCCCCGCCTTTCCCCTCCACCTCCCATCTCTTCTCCACTCTATAAAATCAATAAATGTTACTTTAAAAAATAAATGAGCGTCTTGGCTGGTTTGGCTCAGTGGATAGAGTGTTGGCCTAGGGACTGAAGGGTCCCACATTTCATTCTGGTCAAGGGCATGTACCTGGGTTATGGGCATTATCTCCAGGAGGGTGCAGGGGGCAGCGGGTCAATGATTCTCATCATTGATGTTTCTGTCTCTTTCCCTCTCTCTTCCTCTCTCTAAAATTAAACTCTTTTCTGAATTTATTTTTCTTTATTTCAAAGAATAATAGGAGGCATGTCCTAGCAATCATAGGCTTATATTAGGGAATCATTTATTATTTTAAAAAATATATATTTTATTGATTTTTTACAGAGAGGAAGAGAGAGGGATAGAGAGTTAGAAACATCGATGAGAGTCATCGATCAGCTGCCTCTTACACACCCCCTACTGGGGATGTGCCCGCAACCAAGGTACATGCCCTTGACCGGAATCGAAGTGGGAATCATTTTAAAACTACTTTGTGCCGATTGATTTTTCTCCCCCAAGGAAAAATTGCTTATCTTGGTGATTGTCCACGGCTGGTGCATATTATAGGCACATGGGATCTGTAGGAGAGCTGGGCAGTCTTGAGAAAGAAATGGATAGTGATTTCATGGTTTTACCCAAATCTCAGAAGAAGAAAAAAAAAAAAAGTAAAGCCACTTTTGTTTAAAAGTAAAGTGACTTTTTATTTGTCCTTGGTTTACTTAATAAACTGATAAAGATCAACCTTTACTTTGGTACTGATAAAGAACTTGCCCTTATTATGGTATTTTTTTTTTTTAACTGTAATTACCTGCCTGCATATTTCTGATAAGGACAGATATCAGGATCCTGGTTAACTGGCTCTTCTTGATCCACCGGGCTGTGTGGGGATAAAAGAGGAAAGGCCTCTGAATAATTGTATGTTGTTGGATATGTTGCTAGTAAATATTTAAAAGGAAGTTCCTGCCCAGCCAGTGTAGCTCCACAGTTGAGCTTCAACCCAGGAACCAAGAGGTCACGGTTCAATCCCCAGTCAGGGCATATGCCCCGTATGGGGCCTGCAGGAGGCAGCCAAACCATGATTCTCTCTCATCATTGATGTTTCTATCTCTCTCTCCCTCTCCCTTCCTCTCTGAAATCAATAAAAATATATTTAAAAAATAGCTGGGACCGGTTTGGCTCAGTGGATAGAGCCTCGGCCTGCGGACTGAAAGGTCCGGGGTTTGATTCTGGTAAAGGGCATGAACCTTGGTTGCGGGCACATCCCTAGTAGGGGGTGTGCAAGAGGCAGCTGGTCAATGTTTCTCTCTCATCGATGTTTCTAACTCCTGTCCCTCTCAGTTCCTCTCTGTGTAAAATCAACCCTTTGCACTCCAAACCATTCTGGACATTGGCTACCAGCTACTCGACGCTACTTTGCGAAACGTGCGTTGAATTAACTCAATTCCCCATAATCACTAATAAACTGCAATGTCCCCTGAGAGGGGACATCCGAGTGGTATGCTAGAATTCCGATGTCCCCTGAGAGGGGTCAGCGGAGTGCAAAGGGTTAATAAAATATATTTAAAAAAATATATATATATATATTTAAAAAATAAAAGGAAGTTCACAGTTATATACATATGTTGAAGTCATATTCATCATATTTCTTTTTTTCAGTAAGAAAATCATTTTTGAGTTATAATAAAACTATCTGGGGTCCTTTGGAACTGGTGGAGAAGCTATACCCAGAAGCAGAAGAAATAGGGGCCAGTGTCCGGGATTTACCTGGTCTTAAGTAAGTAATCTTATTACTTGTTCATTTCTAACCACAGAAGTGTGTGTGTGTATATTTTAATATTTTTATTGATTTCATAGAGAGGGAGAGGGAAAGAGAGAGGTAGAAACATTAATGATGAGAGAGAATTACTGGTTGGCTGCCTCCTGCATTCCCCCCACGGAGGACCAACCCGGGCATGTGTCCCTGACTAGAATCGAACCCGGACCCTTCAGTCTGCAGGCTGACACTCTATCCACTGAGCCAAACTAGCCAGAGCCACAGAAGTATATTTACCGTTCCTTAAAAGTACCTTACATTCTTTTTTTTATTATTATTTTTTTATTGATTTTACACAGAGAGGAATTGAGAGGGACAGAGAGTTAGAAGAAACATTGATGAGAGAGAAACACCGACTAGCTGCCTCCTGCACACCCCCCACTGGGTATGTGCTCGCAACCAAGATACATGCCCTTGACCGGAATCGAACATGGGACCTTTCAGTCCGCAGGCAGACGCTCTATCCACTGAGTCAAACCGGTCCTGGCGAAAGTACCTTACATTCTAATTTGTCTTCTCTCAGCCTTAAATAGCTTTCTTCCATTCTCTCCTAATAAAATTCTGTTCATTCTTTATGGGTTAGCTTAGATTTCATTTCTTTTATGGTATTTATTAGTCCTGTCAGTAAGAGTTTATTGCTTTTTTTTTTTTTTTTTTTTTTTTTTTAAATATATATTTTATTGATTTTCTCCAGAGAAGAAGAAGAAGAAGAGAGAGAGAGAGAGAGAGAGAGAGAGAGAGAGAGAGAGAGCGCGCCAGAAACGTCGATGAGAGAGAAACATCGACCAGCCGCCTCCTGCACATCCCCTACTGGGGATGTGCCCGCAGCCAACGTACATGCCCTTGACTGGAATCGAACCCGGGACCTTTCAGTCCACAGACCGACGCTCTACCACTGAGCCAGACCAGTTTCGGCAAGAGTTTATTGCTTTTTAAAATACTCTTATCACCGTAGTCATTCCTTATTATATCACCCACTAGAGGCCCAGTGCACAGAATTTGTGTACAGCAGGCTGGAAGCAGCTCCTGCATTGTACGTCTGCCCCCTGGTGGTCAGTGCCTGTCATAGCGACTGATTGTTCTGTCTGGTCAATTTGCATATTACTTTTTTATGATATAGAATTTTAATTAGGCATTGTAATGCAGGAAGTTGCAAGTCCTTTTAAGGTACAATGTATCAATTATGCATTTCTGTTTCCTGAATGCTAAACTATTTTGCAGTAATAGACAGTCAGTAACAGTAACAGTTTGTTGGAGACTGATTAGGTTAAATCCAGGCAAAAGCTCAGGAGGTTTTGAGTTCTCAGATAAGCCATTTGAGGCCTGATGCATGAAATTAATGCAAAAGGCTCGGCCCCTGCCATGGTGGCAGCTGCCTCTGCCTCTGTCCCAGCTGCTGTGGCGTTGTCCGGAAGGTTGTCCAAAAGGACCTCTGGTCTAATTAGCATATTATGCTTTTATTATTATGGATAAGACATGTACAAATTACTTTCTTTCTCAGAAATTAGGACTTATGGGGCCCCTGCCTGTTTCACTGGACAAATGTATATGAAATGTCCTAAAAGCTGAATATTCTAGCTAATAAATCAAGAGTGTTGAAATTTTTTATTTTTATTTTTTTTAATATATTTTACTGATTTTTTACAGAGAGGAAGGGAGACAGATAGTTAGAAACATCGATGAGAGAGTCATCGATCAGCTGCCTCTTGCACACCCCCTACTGGGGATATGCCCGCAACTAAGGTACATGCCTTGACCGGAATCGAACCTGGGACCTTTCAGTCCTCAGGCCAACGCTCTATTCACTGAGCCAAACCGGTTTCGGCAAGAGTGTTGAAATTTTTATAGTCATAAAGTATTAAGGCAAAGGTCTTACACTTGTCATGATTAGTTTCAGGTGTACAGCATAGTGACCCTTGATGTTTCTTTTTCTTTTCTTTTTCCCCCCTCTTAATATATTTGTATTGATTTCAGAGAGGAAGGGAGAGGGAGAGAGAGATAGAAACATCAATGATGAGAGTGAATCATTGATTGGCTGCCTCCTGCAGACCCCTTACTGAGGATCAAGCCCACTACTCGGGCATGTGCCCCTGACTGGAACATAACCTGTCTGCAGGCCAATGCTCTCTCTGCTGAGCCAAACTGGCTAGGGCTGCTTTTTAATCTTTATAAATGATAGAACTTGGATAAGAGTGGTCTGAGATTTAATATTTAAGGACAATTGAATAAAAGAAACATTTGAAAAATACCAGCAAGAAGCCTGGTGATTTCTCTCTAATTACCAGTGTGGCACCTTAGCTTTGTTATGCTTTTTAAAAAAAGATGTCTTTATTGATTTTAGAAGGAGGAAGGGGAAAGGAGAGAGGGGAAGAGAGAGAAAAAGATTGATGAGAAAGAGAAACATAGATGGGCTGTCTCCTGCACACCCCCACTGGAGATCAAGCCTGCAATCCCGAGCATATACCCTGACACGGAATTGAACCAGTGACTTCTTGGTGCATTGGAGTCATACCAGTCAGAGCTGTTATGATACTTTACATTTGGATATAGTGTTAATTATTGTTTGAAGGCATTGTACTGCCCTATTGATGTATTTTGCATAATCATTTTATGGAAGGCTAAACCCATCTGACAAAGTATTTCTTGTAGAAATAGTCTCACTTTTTAGAGTCATTTCTCTCAAGGCTTTAAACGGTGCCTAGATGTCCTGCAGGTGCAAACTTACCTTAGAGATTTAATAGCGCACAGGGATTGGTTTGCATGCTCAAAGAAACTAGTTAAAACTATAGAAACGGAGACAAAACTATGATAAATTGCCTTTTTTTAAAATTATACCTCAGCAGAGGTAGAATGTATGGTTTATGCTCTTTGGGCTGGCGCTGTTTTCTTACCAGTTGGTTTTATTTTTTAGGACCCCCCTGGGTCGGGCACGAGCATGGCTTCGTTTAGCCCTCATGCAGAAGAAAATGGCTGATTACCTTCGTTGCTTAATTATTCAAAGGGATCTCTTGAGGTTAGTACCATTAAATCATGTTCAGTTTCATTTTTTATTTCATTGATATTCTGTCTCCCAAAAATCATTAAAGATGTGAAAAAGGACTCGTAAAATACGATAAGATGGCATAAAACAAAGGGAGGTGCGAAATGAGTGAGAAAATCATGGTGGAGGTGTAACATTGATTAGGAACTACCCTAAAAAATGATAAGGAAAAAATTTATATTTTATATTTCTCAGTTAGTTTCCTTTTTTAAAGTCTATTACACATATTTTTTTCTAAATTAGTTAATTTTATGAATAAAAATATATGTGAAGTTTGGGGCTTTAATTCAAGGGGTCTTTTTTTTAGATCTTGAATATCCAACTACTGCTTCAACTGTATTGTGGGCTTTAAACTGTGAGTTTAAATTGAAAGCCAAGTGCTTAGGACAGACTTTCAGAGTAAGACAATGAGTTCTTAAAGGGAGTGGGGCCCATGGTACCCCTCAGTTCTCCCTTGTTCTTCTAGAGGCCTGTCTGATGTTCTGGAGAATTTGTCATTTTTGTTTTACTTATGACTCTAGTTCATCTTCGTTTACCCATTTTGTAAATGAGGATGACTATATTTTAAGCACCTGCAATTTCTCAATAATATTCTGAAGTGATTAAATACTATACATGGGATTTTAAAAAAATATTTTAAAAAATTGATTTTGGAATGGGGTCGGGGGAGAGAGACAGACAGACAGACATTGATTGGTTGCCTTTCCCAAGTGTCCCAACCAGGGATCAAACCTGCAACCAGGAATCGAACCTGCTCCCTTTTGGTACAGAGCATGGACGATGCTCCAACCAAGTGAGCCACACCAGCCAGGGCTACATTGGACTTCTTGAGGGAGGCATGAGACAGTGATAACTAGTTCTCTGAATATACTTCGTCAAATATTAGTTATAAAAAATATTTTTATTGATCTCAGAGAGGACGGGGGAGAGATAGAAACATCAATAATGCGAGAGACTCATTTTATTATTATTTTAATTTTCACAGTGAATTCTATGAATATCATGCACTAATGATGGAAGAAGAAGGAACAGTAATTGTTGGGCTGCTGGTTGGCCTGAATGTGATAGATGCTAATCTGTGTGTGAAGGGAGAGGATTTAGACTCACAAGTAAGTAAAGTGACTAGCACCAAATGCAGAGTGTTTGCAGTTTGCACGGCTCCTCTCTCAGCCAGGTCTTACTCCATCAGTTGTAAACAGTGCTGTTAAACAGTAAAGGAAAATTAAGAATGAAATTTATTTGTATATTACAGATCCATCTGATATTTCTCCCCTTTAAATAACTTTATTTATAAATTCAGGTTGGAGTGATTGATTTTTCCATGTATTTAAAGAATGAAGATGATATTGGAAATAAAGAAAGGTACGATTTCCATAAGTTACTTAACATGTATTTTTTTATGTGTCTCTATAAATCAGTATGAGGGCCATCTGTTTACCATGTGGTTTTTATTTCCATTATTTGTGTGGATTTCTTGCTTTGTTTAGCTTTCACTCCCATCTTTATTAAGCAAAGACCACTTGGAAGGAGGCTTTAGAATGATATGTAACTTCTGTTTTACACGTTAATAGTTAATAGACCCATTTTAATAGTTATGTTTTGTGATAAAAGGGATGAAAGCTTATTCACAAGCTTACATATGCTGGTTTATTTCAAGAGCTAATTGTGTTTGTTTGTTTAAATTGTTTTATTTATTTGTACATTGTAATAATAATAAATAGTAATTGTTTATTCAGTTTTCCAACTACTGAAAAGGAAGGATAATTATGTAATTAATAGAGGTGCTAATAATTTCTATGGCAGTTATGATATATAAATGTATCGAACATGTTGTATGCCTTAAATTTACACAGTGTTATATGTCAATATATTTCAATAAAAAATAAATCATACTGATGCAAAATTTTTAAAAATATACTAATGGTACTGTTAAATCTAGTGTTAGTAAGTAGTTTATTTAATAAAGATTATAGTTATTTAGTACACAGTTTACTGCTACATAATCTTGAAGTTTCTTAAATTTTACTTTAAAGGCAAAATAATGTTTTACCATTATGACTTTACAACAATTTTAGATGATATAGACATTATTTTTAGCATCCAATAAATACCTCTCCATTGAGCACAAAACTACTTTTCTCCCCTCTAGGAATGTTCAAATTGCTGCCATATTAGACCAGAAGAATTATGTTGAAGAATTAAATAGACAACTAAAGTAAGTGTTATGGAAACTTGGAATACTTAGTGCATTTATGGCTATTGTCTTAGGGTCCCCCTCTTTGCAGGGCAGCTTAACCCTATTCCCTCTACACATCTTTGAGAATGGGTTGAGAAGACAAAGAAAATCTAAATTAAGTACATAGAGAATTATTGGAGATAATTCATTTTCAATAGAAAATAAGTCAAACTTTAAATAATAATCTTCAGAGTATTAAAAAATAGAATTTCTTACTTATCTCTATACCCTTAAAATAAAGGTTAGCCTTGGCTGGTTTTGCTTAGTGGATAGAGCATCAGCTTGTGGACTGAAGGGCCCCAGGTTCCCTTCTAGTCAAGGGCACGTGCTTGGGTTGTGGGCTGGATCCCTAGTAGGGGGAGTGCAGGAGGCAGCCAATCAATGATTCTTTCTCATCAGTGATGTTTCTATCTCTCCCTTCTTCTCTGAAATCAATAAAAATATATTTAAAATAAATAAATAAAAAATAAAGGTAGCCAAAACCGGTTTGGCTCAGTGGATGGAACATTGGCCTGTGGACTGAGAGGTCCCGGGTTCAATTACAGTCAAAGGGCATGTACCTTGGTTGCGGGCACATCCCTAGTGTGCAGGAGGCGGCTGATCGATGTTTCTAGCTCTCTATCCTTCTCCCTTCCTCTCTGTAAAATAATCAATAAAACATATTAAAAAATAAATAAATAAAAATAAAGGTTAGATAGGGTGGGAGTTTATATCATTTTGATGATTCAAAAATTCGTTGAAATTGTGAGTTAATACTCAATCTGGGAAGAATGACTGAGATCTGTTTGTATGTCTAATGCTGTATAATAAAACCCTAATCTGCAAGTTGATCAAATGATGGAATGACCTGCAGAACAGCTGGTTGCTATGATGTGTACTGACCACCAGGGGGCAGACGCTCAATGCAGGAGCTGTCCCCTGGTGGTCAGTGAGCTCCCACAGGAGGAGTGCTGCTCAGCCAGAAGCCAGGCTTGCACAGAGGCAGTGGTGGGAGCCTCTCCCACCTCCGCTGCAGGTGGGTGGTAAGGAGTAAGGGGTCCCGGAATGCTAGAGGGATGTCCGTCTGCTGGCTTAGGCCCAATCCTCGGGACATCCCCCAGGGGTCCCCGACTGCAGGACCCTCGTTGCCCCCCCTACCTCAGTGCACGAATCTTGTGTATTGGGCCTCTAGTAAGAGTATTATGTGAATCAATAGATAATTTAAAATTTCTAGTAAACCTCATTAAAAAGGTAAAAAAGAAACATTAAATTAATTAAAAATATATTTAACCCAAGATAATATAATTTCAACATGTAATCAATATAAAAATTGATATATTTTAACTTTTTGGTACTATCTTCAGAATCCAGTGTATATTTTACACACAGTATGTTTCAATTTGGACTAGTCACATTGTAAGTACTTATTGTAGCCACAAATGGCTTATGACTGCTATATACTATATATATAATGAATATTTGCTACATAGTTAGAAATGGACTGTTCTCATTAGTTAAAAGGAATAATTAGTAAAAATGGCTCCTTTGGACGATGGGATTATGAATAATTTCTATTTTACTCTATACTCTTTATTTTCTGAATTGCACTCAGATAACATGTATTACAATCTGAAAATACTTTAGACATTTTCCCAATAAGCAGTAACTTTTGCTTTCCTCTGAAATTGAAGAGATAGGAAAGATCTTTTTCTTTTTCTTTTTTTTTTAATATTTTAAAATTTGACTTTTAGAGAGAGAGGAAGGGAGAAGGAAGAAACATTAATGTGAGAGCCAAACATCAGCCAGCTGCCTCCTGCACACCCACACGGGATCAAGCCAGCAACCCTGGGCCTGTGCCCTGACTGGGAATTGAACCATGACCTCCTGGTTCAAAGGTCAACGTTCAACTACTGAGCCATGCCAGCCAGGCAGTGTCTTCTTCTTTAATCACGGAGTTTTAATAATAGATATAGGAGATATGTGTGTATTTTGTACTTCTGAGATTGTATTTCTTTTTTTTTTTTTTTTTTTTAAATATATTCCATTGATTTTGTACAGAGAGGAAGGGAGATAGAGAGTTAGAAACATTGATGAGAGAGAGTCATCAACCAGCCGCCTCCTGCACACCCCCCATCGGAGATATGCCCGCAACCAAGGTACATGCCCTTGACCAGAATCGAACCCGGGACTCCTCAGTCCCCAAGCCGACGCTCTATCCACTGAGCCAAACCGGTCCCGGCCTGAGATTGTATTTCTAAGTGCAGTCTTGTATTGCTTATTTTCTTTTAAACTTTTACTCACTTTTTGGACACAGGCAATATATTCCCATGGCTTGAACTTCAAAAGGGACATTAAATGAAAAGTCTCCCTCTTCCCTTATCTTCAACCCCACCTAGCTTCTCTCTTAGGAAATAATTAACATACTGTGTTCTGATGAATACCTCCACAGATATTCAAATAAACAAGAATAAGAATATATATATATATATATATATATATATATATATATATACACACACATACACACACACACACACACACACACACACACATATATATATATATATTATTTTTTTTTTTTAAATCTAAAAATGATTTTAGCCAAAACCAGTTTGGCTCAGTGGATAGAGCGTCAGCCTGCGGACTGAAAGGTCCCAGGTTCGATTTTGGTCAAGGGCATGTACCTTGGTAGGGGCTGTGCAAGAGGCAGCTGATCGATGATTCTCTCTCATCAATGTTTCTAACTCTCTCTCTTCCTCTCTGTAAAAAATCAATAAAATATATTTTAAAAAATGATTTTAGAGAGGAAGGGTGAGGATTTTGGGGGGGGAGAAAGAGAGAGAGAGAGAGAGAGAGAGAGAGAGAGAGAGAGAGAGAGAGAGAGAGAGTGTAAGAGAGGAGAAACATTGATTTGCTACTCCACTTATTTAAATTTCTTGTATGTGCCCCAACTGGAGATGGAAACTGCAGCCTTGGGGTATTGGGATGACACCAAACGGAACACCTGGCCAGAGCCTGCATATATTTTCTTACACTTCTCACCTTCCCCCAGTTCTTGACTCATAAGGTGGCATACTTTTTTGGTTATTCTGTACTTTGTTTTTACTCAACAACTTATGGTAGAATCTATTCCATTTGGTTCAAATGAGCTGTCTCAGTTATTAAATTATGTGTGTGTTAACCAGGTACCACAATACTAATGCCATACTTTTGTATGTTTTTATATATTAAAAACATTTCATTGTTTTTCTAATTAGAAAATAGTTCTGGTACGTTAAGAATATTTCAAAAGTATAGAAACAGATTTTTAAAAAGTAGAATTCACCTGTTACCTTTCACTAAAAATCACTATTTGGGGGGGAAACACACAATGGTAAGTTATGTACACATATAATACCTTAAAAAAAATGGGGGGAAAAAGAATAAAAACCACTATTGAGAATTTACTGTTTTTATAAGTGCTTTGATTATTTTTTCACTAGAAGCCTGGTGCACAAATTGGTGCATGGGTGGGGTCCCTCAGGATGGCCTGCAGGGATTGAGCACCAGCTCGTGCCCCTAGCCTCACAGCCCCGCCTGGCACCCTGCCTCACCTGCTCCACCATCGCTCCTGTAGGGGGATCGAATGGACCAGGCCTCCCACCCGGCTCCCTCAGCATCTGGGAGCTGGGCAGCGGCCCTGTCTCCTGCCGTGGCCACTGGTCACCGTGTGCAGGGCGGTTGATGGGGCGATCGGTCCCTGCTTGCACCTCACCTGCCTTGGCCTGATGCCGCCTGCTCACCTCCTCCACCCTCCCGCTGTGGTCCCACTCTTGTTGTCCATGTCAGTGCCATGTCACTGACACCCGCCATGTTTCACACTGCCCCCAAATTTGTGCACTAGGCTCTAGTTTAATATAAATAGAAAAACATTTTTCTTGTTTCACATCTAATCTTAAAATGCCCATAGTTGTTTCTGAGGCTGTTATACATTTTTTGAATCTATTGTAGATTTCTACTATAATGTATATAGCATATTACATTTTATTAGAGAAAGTTTGAAATGGTAAAATCAAACAGGACTTAAAAATTAGACTCAGTAAATAATAATGCCCAGTCTTAATTGATTTAAACAGGAATATAAATAAGTTTTTTCATGTAGTGGAACCTGATTTCTTACTGTATCCTTGAAAGATGGATGTTTCCTTAGCTTCAGGCTGACTGGGTACCTGATAGTAGGTATCTCATATTTGCATTTCTCAAAAATGGTGATTTTGAAGGTCTTTAAGTTATTATGAAAGTGGAGAGAGGTAATAGAATGGGGTTTCTGTTGATGAATACTGTTTATAAGCGTCATTAAAGTTTATCCTTTAAAAATAATTTTAAATTTAGTTTTAATAATATTTAGTTATCTTTATGTGGAATTTCCATTCCTAAATAGTATAAGGTACATGTAAAAGGGACCCTAAAAAGACAAAAAATAATGAGCAGTATCAAATGAAATTTTAATGGAAATATTGGTTCTTTTGCTATAGTCTGTATTATTCTAGTTAAATCAAGTTATTCGGACTTAATGAAATTCTCACACTAAAATATTCAGACAGGGCAGTTGGTGAATGTCATTTAACATAGAGAATCCAGAATAACATACTTTTTCTTGCTTTCGTGAGTGAGTTTGAATGAGGTTTTTCTTCATTAATTTCAGCAGCACAGTCAGCTGTCTCCATTCAAGAGTTGATTCATTGGAAAAGTCAAATACTAAGCTGATTGAAGAGGTATTGTCATCACAGTCCTGGTATTTGTGATGCTTTTTCATTTTCAGTATGAGTGTGTGAAGCACATACACATTGTCATTAGGATGATGCAATACTTGTAATATAGTTGTGATTGAGACGTTTGAGAGAAACCACATATCTCAGGTGAATCTGAATTGTTTCGAGATACTCAACTTCTAAAAATGAGCTTCAAAGATAAAACTCAGACATACTCTTCTGTAAATAAGCTGTGCTTCTCATTTTAAATCTGGCTGACCTGAAATTAGATGGTGCATATTTCTTATGTATGAAAAACATTTCATTGTTTTTCTAATTAGAAAATAGTTATGGGACATTTAGAATATTTCACCTGTAGTTAAATTACCTGCTAAAATGATACTCTTCCTCTTGTTCCACAAGTCAGGTTACTTTTCTTTTCAAGCATGATCATATTCACCATTTCTCAGCCCTCTCATGTGTAAAATTTATCCCACGTGCTCCAGTTTTCTGCATTTTCAAAGTGGCTGTCTGATGGTCCAAGAACCAGAATTTTAGCTCTTTTTTTATATAACTTGAAAAATATCTATCAAACCATAGATGTATTACTTTATATTTTCAGAATTATTTTGTATAGAGGAAGAAATCTGTTATTTTATTAGTGCTGTTTTCCATGTTAATTAAAATTATTTCTTTTAAAACTTGCCCAGTTTTTTCAAACCAGGGAACACATGGTTGTTTGCTTGTCTGCAGTTAAGAATGCATCTTTGTTTTGATAGTTTGGGATCATCAAAGAGCTGCTCATTGGTTCGTGCCTCTTGTTGGCCTTAGACACACTGTGAAGTTCAAGTTGTATCCCTGATAAATTATTCAGAAACTGACTTGCAAGCCTACGTTGTGGAGTAGCCCCTGCTTCCCTTTCCTAGGATCCTTCTTTTTATTCTGGGCGTCAGCCAAGCCACTTAGCCATTCTTGTTTAATTCTGATGATGAGAGCTGACTCATTGGCCCTGCTCACTCAGTGTGCCATGTTTCACAGAGTATCCTATTTGCTTATCACGAATGTCATTTTTATTGATAGTGAAACTTTTTTTCCTTACAGATATTTCTGTCTTTACACAAGTCTTTACAGTTTAGCTGTTTAACACATAATTCTTTATATGCTTACTTAGGCACTTTATATTCAGGACATATTGTAAACCAGATAAGCATAGTTTGTTTCGATTGACATAATGTATATCGACTAACAAAAGGAAATAGTAGAAATTAGTAAATTTATTTCATTGATATCTTGGGATAATGGGGGCCTATTTTTTTATGCAAGTTTTTGTAGCTGTGAGATTTTTACTAGCTTTAGGATTTTATTTTCTGTTATTGATATCCTTGAACATAACCTGTAAAGCAAATATAAATAAAGCTGTTTATAAATTTTTTTCTTGCCCATTTCATAATTTTTAGTTAGCAATAGCAAAGAATAATATCATTAAACTTCAAGAAGAAAATCATCAATTACGAAGTGAGAATAAGTTGATTTTAATGAAAACACAGCAGCACTTAGAGGTAAGTGTAGACACATTGCAAACAGACTGTCTTTTGTCAGAAATTGTTGCTTGTTGGGACTTTGGTATAGATTGGGTATTTCTGTGCTGGGTTACTAATAGCGATTATAGAGTAAAAAGCTTTCTTCCTAGGTTACCAAAGTGGATGTGGAAACGGAGCTTCAAACATACAAGCATTCTCGGCAGGGGCTGGATGAAATGTACAATGAAGCCAGAAAGCAGCTTCGAGACGAATCGCAGCTGCGACAGGTATGATCATTAATAACAGTTATCATTACTGTGATTACTTACTCTTAAGCAAGCACTACTTAAAATCTCTTTCAGCTTTATTCACTTAATCCCCTCAAATTCTTTTTTTTTTTTTAAGATACATATATTTTTAAATATATTTTATTGATTTTTCACAGAGAGATAGAGAGTTAGAAACATCGATGAGAGAGAATCACCGATCAGCTGCCTCTTGCACACCCCCCACTGGGGATGTGCCCGCAACCAAGGTACATGCCCTTGCCCGGAATCGAACCTGGGACGCTCTATCCACTGAGCCAAACCGGTCCCGGCTCTTTTTTTTTTTTTTTAAATATATTTTATTGATTTTTTACAGAGAGGAAGGGACAGAGATAGAGAGCTAGAAACATCAATGAGAGAGAGACTTCAACCAGCTGCCTCCTGCACACACCCTACTGGGAATGTGCCCGCAATCAAGGTACATGCCCTTGACTGGAATCGAACCCGGGACCTTTCAGTCTGCAGGCAGACGCTCTATCCACTGAGCCAGACTGGTTTTGGCGAGAATATTTTAAAATTTACTTTTAGAGAGAGTGGAATGGAGGGGGAGAGATAGAGAGAAACGTCAATGTAAGAGAGACACATTGACTGTTGGCCTCCTGCATGTGCCCCGAGGGCCAGGGATCAAGTCTGCACCCAAGGAATGTGCCCTTGACCAGAACTGAACCAGACCCTTCAGTCCCCTGGTTAGCTCTGTCCACTGAGCTAAACCCGGGGACTGTTGAGGGTTAGGAACTCGTATTTTTAAATCCTCACCCAAGGATATTTAAAAAAAAAAAAATTAATTTTAGAGAGAGGAAAGGAGAGACAGACGAGAGACAGAGACAGAGAGAGGGAGAGAGGGAGGAGAGAGAAACATTGGTGTGGGAGAGGTTGGATTAGTTGCCTCCCACATGCATCCTGACCGAGGATTGAACCCTAACCCTTTTTGGTGCACAGGAGGACACTCCAGCTAACTGATCCGTCTTGCCAAGCTGAATAGAAACTCTTCCTTGGTCTCATTAACTATTGTGTGTCTGACTTTTGACAACCTGAAGTGGCATCTAACTGAGGATATATTGCAATTATAGGATGTGGAGAATGAGTTGGCTGTACAAGTTAGTATGAAGCATGAGATCGAACTTGCCATGAAATTGTTGGAGAAAGATATCCATGAGAAACAAGATACTTTGATAGGCCTTAGACAACAACTAGAGGAAGTTAAAGCAATTAACATAGAGATGTACCAAAAGATGCAGGTAAGGAATGTTTTTAAATTCTTGGAATTTCTTGTTATATAAATTGAAAATGAAGATTTGTGTACAAGGTTTGGTTTTTAAGAAATGAGCCTATTTTAACTGTGCTATATTGGTTATAAAAAGCAATGAAGCTTGTTTTATTTCTAAATGGAAGCTTAAGAAATGTAGCAATGAAAAAAGTATCAAAGAACGAAAACTTCACCTATCTGAATTTGTTTTTTAATTCTGAATTTGTTTTTTAATTCTGAATTTGTTTTTCATGCTTCATGAAAGCATGAAGGTTAAATCTTTTGGGAAAACTCGGTCCAAATATGTAAGACATTTTTGTGAACTTTAAAAAAAATTTTTTTACTTGAGGCCTAATGCACGGATTTGTGTAAGAATGGGCCTTTCTTCCCCTAGCTGCCGGCACTGCCCTTGCTCGGGGCTTGTGCGTTTGCTCTGTTTATATCACAAACAGCCTCCTTTCCACCTTCTCTCACTGCCCAGAGGCCCAGAGCTGCTGGGGTGGTGCGGAGAGCAAGCATCCTGCCCCTCCCTGGATGCTCAGCACCTACATATGCAAATCAACCTGCCATATTTGGTGGGTTAATTTGCATACCCACCCTTGGTTGCCTGGTGGGTGTTGTGAAGATACGGTCAATTTGCATCTTTCTCTTTTATTAGTGTAGATTGATTCAGAAAGGAAGGGGAGGCGGGGGAGACAGAGAAAGAGAAAGAGAAAAAACATCAGTGAAGACAGAATCACACTGGAGATTGAGCCCATAACCCTGTCATGTGCCCGACCAAAAATCAAAACAACTGACCTCCTGGTTCATAGGTCAACACTCAACCACTGAACCATACAGGCCGAGCTTTGTGAACTTCTTTATACAGTATAATCCTGAGAAAGATTTGATTGAAATGGTTTACTCTAATGATTGTGAATTTTCTTACAAAGTGACATTTTTGTTAAGTAGACTAGTCGTCAAAATCTCTTTCAATTTAATTTGAAAAATAGTGTAACAAGAGCTTATTCTGGCGAAACCGGTTTGGCTCAGTGGATAGAGCGTCAGTCTGCGGACTGAAAGGTCCCAGGTTCGATTCCGGCCAAGGGCATGTACATTGGTTGTGGGCACATCCCCGGTAGGGGGTGTGCAGGAGGCAGCTGATCGATGTTTCTCTCTCATCGATGTTTCTGGCTCTCTATCTCTCTCCTTTCCTCTCTATAAGAAAATCAATAAAATATATATTTTTAAAAAAATGTTAAAAAAAAAAAAAGAGCTTATTCTGTTTTCTTCCAAAAACATTGAAGGCTGTTTCCTTTTCCTTTACTATATTTTAAATGAAGACTGGTGTACTACTGCTTAACGTCATAGGAGTATTTTAATCTATAAATTAACTCTGCTCATTTCAAAGTAACAGTCCCATAGCAGAACAGTATACAAAACTTACAAATATTCAGGGTTAAAAACAAAACCACTATAGCTTTTATGTTTTTCTAAATAGGGTTCCGAAGATAGTTTGCAAGAAAAAAATGAAATAATTGCCCGACTAGAAGAAAAAACCAATAAAATTACTGTAGCCATGAGGCAGCTGGAACAAAGGTACAGCATTTCCAGTCTTAGTTTCTTTTTTCCTTTCTTTCTCCCCTTTTTCTTTATTCAACTCTAACATCTGCCACAAAAAAAAAAAAGAAAAGAAAAATTAAGGAAATTTAGGTTAGGACATGTTTTTCTGTTAGCCCAGCAGAATTTTGCCTTTTTTGTTTTGGTTGCATGGAATCAAGTTGCTTTATATGAAGCTGATTTCATTTGAACTTGCCATTTTATATGTATATATTTTAAAGGCTTAATACCAGCAATTTCATGTGGTACAATCTATTACGTTACATAAAACAAACACACAACCAGAAACCTCGAAAAAATGTAAAGTGAACAAAATTCATGGTGGAGTTGCTCCTGATTGGTTTCCATGCATACTGGTTACCATATCCTCTGTCATTCACCATCTCTCTGCCTGAAATCAAGCTTTCTGAGTTGACAGTTGAATTGTGTTTTCTTTGAGGTAGGCTCCTTAACTCAACCCAAGAGATAATTTTATTTAAATTTAATTGTTTTATATTGGCATTTTTCACTTTTATTGTTGGAAAATGTAATGTATTTCCATTGACCTGTCATGTTGGTGTCAACATATGTCTTATCATTGCTTTCTTTGAATCTACTTATGAAAAACATAACTATTAATGCTCTATTGACATGAATATTCTTTTATTGACATCCTCTTTCTTCTTTTTTCTTTTTTGTTTTCTTTATCCCCATTTTTACATTTTGGACATCTTTATTACCTTTTTCTGTCTTTGATTTCTGTCCATTCCATTATGAAGTGACAATGATTTGTTAACTCAAACTAGAACAATTGCAATGTCATTGGTGAAATGTGCCAGCAGTGACACACAGGATCAGTACAAGCTGGTCAAAGATATATCTTTCTAAAAACTATCCACTGTATTTAAATAGACTAAAAGAGAATCAACAATTTTACAATATATTAAATAGAAAAGAATTTATGCTATTAAGTCTTCTAAAAGGGTGTTAGGGACCCTGTACACTTCTTGATCAGCTGCTGTGTTAATACACTGCATAAAGCAGAGTGGATGCACTTGGATTTCCAAAACTCATCCCTTAGACCCTGTGCACAGGGCTGATTTTGAGTATTGACCTTTGGAGGTCAGGATTTTAAAATGCAGCTTTATCTTTTTTGCTACTTTTTGATGGAAAATATAAAAATTTAGTTTAAAAATAAGGTTTATCATTAGTTTCACAATGTGTTGGCACAGATTCACCACCCCCTCTCCCCCACCCCCACTATTGGTCCCTTCCTTGCCTGATGGCTCTTTTACTAATTTTAAAATAATGTTTAAAATAGTTTGTAACCCAGATTGGCCATCATCTTGTGCTTGAGCCCTCAAGTTTTTAGTTCCCTTTAGCACTCTTCTGTGATGGCACAGCTTCATGGCCTACCTCACACTGACTGACTTTTAGTTTCTGTAACATGAAAACACTTGTTGCCCCCCCCCCCTTAATATTTTAAATTTAGAGATAACTTGAATGTTACTCTCTTTTCCTTAGAAGTAGCATTCATACTTCTGAAATATGTGAGGGTTGCCCCATTGGTATGGTTTTAAGGAAGAAAAGAAGAGGCAATATTTTTGGTTAGTTGCATAGAAATTTTTCTTAGGATTCTCTAAAAGGAATTAATGTCTCTTGAATACTTGGGAGATGTTTTCTTATAAATATATTGAAGTTTCATATAAGAAATCCTAGATGGCCGTAGGAGTCAGGGAGTGGAGCTAAGCACAGGGAGAAGCAATGCCTTACAAATAAAAACAGAAAAAATGGAAATCACATTTTTAACCAATTTTTAAAATGCATTGATGAGGAACAAAAAATAATCTCTATAGAATGTTGCCAACTAGTACCAAATTCTTTTAAATCTTAAAACACAAACACATATATACATATAGCTTTGGCATAAATTAGTAAGTGTGTAATGATCCTCTGGGGAGAAATAAACTATAATTTGAAGTAATTGCAGGTCTTTGCTCTTGGCCTTGTTAGCACACTCAATTCCTGGTATATACATCCTAACATAATATATGACAATGCGGTTTCTTCACCTAGTATAGACATAAGTACTGTGCTTTTCATGGTTTTGTAAAAAGACAGTAACACACCTATTATACTTTGACAGTTGATTCATTACGCTCTACAAAAGTGGTAAAGGCTGTATTGCTTTGCACTGTTAATTATAAACAAGAAATAAAACAAATTTGAAGATAGTATTCTGGGCATATTATGTTATATTGAAAAAAATCACAAAACAATTTTTAGACATTGTGTGGCTCTTTCACGTTTGAGTTTGTGAGTTTTCCCCCAAACTTTGTTTTCATTTAGAAATGTTTCTATTTCCCCATTTTTCTTTTATTTGTCTTCTTCACCCTTTTACACCCTAGTTCTAGCCTCAGTTTTACCCAAAGTTGATTTGAATTACACCAGATTGCAGCAAGCAGAGAAGGCCCAACTGGAAGCTGAAGAGGAAGATAAGAAATATCTACAAGAATGTCAGAGTAAATCCGACAGTCTGCAGAAACAAATCTCTCAAAAGGAGAAACAGCTGTGAGTATTTCGCTCTTGGAAAAAAATATTTGTATTAATGTAATTTCCACGCACTCCTCTTTCTTAAAATATTTTTTATTGATTTTACAGAGAGGAATTGAGAGGGATAGAGAGTTAAGAAATTTCGATGAGAGAGAAACATCGACCAGCTGCCTCCTGCCCACCCCCAACTGGGGATGTGCCTGCAACCAATGTACATGCCCTTGACCAGAATCAAACCCGGGACCTTTCAGTCCACAGGCCGACGCTCTATCCACTGAGCCAAACCGGTTTCGGCTACACACCCCTCTTTCTTTTGCACCTGTGGTAAAATATATTTTCTTTTATTTAATGATGCCAGCTGGATTGTAGAGTTCTTAAAAACAGAAAAAATTAGATAACATACTTATGATTAAAACTTGTTTCTTACTACCTTTATTGCTTATAGAGCGCTTTCAACTGTATTGCAGTCTTTTTCCTCAAGGAGAGTTTTATTTCTGTTTAATATTAATCTGATGGCCATTGTGTTTCTAGATTCTAAGTATAATAGGCCTTTATAACTCCAAGGAACATCTGTTATCAAAGAACATGATGTTTTCTGAGAACATTTTTATAAGTACTTCATATGATAGTTCTGTATATAGCTAAGTAAGAAGGATGTCAGTATATGTCATTGAGTTGAAAAAAAAGTTGCAGACTGTATGCTAGGCTAAGTATGATCCTATTTTTTATAAAATTAAAGCTGCATTTGTGTATACTTACATATACATAGAAAAGAGTTTATAAAGAATACAGATTCTGGGATTGACAGGGTTATTTTAATTTTACTTTATAAACAATAATATTTCTTCACAGTAAATATATACTACTTTTGTTATTAAAAAACAACAACCCTAACCAGTTTGGCTCAGTGGATAGAGCGTTGGTCTGCAGACTGAAGGGTGTCAGGTTCGATTCCGATCAAGGGCATGTACCTTAGTTGTGGGCATATCCCCAGTAGGGGGTGTGCGGTGTGCAGGAGGCAGCTGATTGATGTTTCTCTCTCATCGATGTTTCTAACTCTCTCTCCCTTCCTCTCTGTAAAATATCAATAAAATATATTTTAAAAAACAACAGTAGAAAGTAGAGCTATGTATTATGTGTAATAGATCATTAAACAAGACTCCATATCACATCTGATATATAACTTGCTAAGCTGCCTTAAGATCTGTTGGTTGAAATGTTAAGTTCTCTGTTCTTACTGATTTTTTGTCTAGCAGATCAATTATTGAAAGAGGATTGGTTAAATTTTCTATAATTTCGAGTAACTTGGACTTAGATATTTCTACTTTCCAGTCTATCAGTTTTGGTTTGTTGTATTCCGAAGTTTTGCTGTTTAGTGTCCACACATTTAGGATTGCTATGTCTTCTTAGTGAGATGTTGTAAACTTTTTCACATGGCACAGAAATGTAAATAAAACCCCATATTTCTCATACTACACTGCTACTGTAACTAGCTGTAATAGGATAGTGTGACCTTAAAATGAATTATAAAGGCAAAACAATCAACCAGAAAGATGCTCTTGTTAAAGCATACATACTACTGTCATGTGAGTAGCAGTGCTGAGCTTCTGTTTGTTTGTCTTCAAGGGCACAACTGGAAACTGATTTGAAGATTGAGAAGGAATGGAGGCAGACTTTGCAGGAAGATCTTCAAAAGGAAAAAGATTCCTTATCTCATCTTAGAAATGAGACCCAACAAATCATTAGTCTTAAAAAAGTAAATAGTGGTAAAATTTTAAAAATTATATTTTGATGAAAGTTATTTATAGAGAATCAAATCATAATTTACATTTATACTAAGGAAACATTATACTAGTCATCTTAAAAAATATCAGGAAGGAGCCCTAGCTGGTTTGGCTCTGTGGATAGAGCATCCCTTATGGGCTCAGTCCCCAGTGGGGGGCGTGTAGGAGGCAGCCAACTGATGAGTCTCTCTCATCATTGATGTTTCTATTCCTTTCCCTTTCTCTCTGAAATCAATAAAATTATATATATATATATATATATGGAAAGAGAGAGAAAGAGATTAAATGAATAGAAAATAGTTGGTCATTGATAGAGCAATTATTAAAAAGCTTTGGACATATAATTTTGTTTTTTTATTTTTAAATTTATTTTTATTGTTGACAGTATTACAGATGTCCCCTATTTCCCCCTTTTGCCTTCCTCCACCTTCTCCACCCCACACATTCAATTGCACTATTGTCTGTACCCATGGCCTAGGCATATCCTATATAATAAAAGCATAATATGCAAATGACCAAACGGTGGAACAGCTGGTCGCTATGATGTGTACTGACCAAACGGGGGGCAGATACTCAATGCAGGCTGCTCCCTGGTGGTCAGTGCACTGCCATAGAGGGAGTGTTGCTCAGCCAGAAGCCAGGCTCATGACTGGCAAGCACAGTGGAGGTGGCCTCTCCTGCCTCCACTGTAGGCGGGAGGTGAGGAGCGAGGACTCCCGGACTGCGAGAGGGATGTCTACCAGCTGGGCATTGGGCCTAAGCCGGCAGGGGGACATCCCCTGAGGAGTGCACGAGTCTTGTGCACCAGGCTTCTAGTATGCATATAAATTCTTTGGTTAATCTTTTCCTATACTCCCCTCCCCTCTGAGATCTGTCAGTCAATACTGTTTTTTATAAAAAGCTAAAGGATTTGTGTTCCTAATTAATGGAATGTATATAATGTGGAGTTTTCTTGTTTCTTTTAAATTGCATTTTCTGTTTGTTTTTTGTTTGTTTGTTTTTTTGTTTTGTTTTTTGCTGTTTTGAAGGAGTTCCTTAACCTCCAGGATGAAAATCAGCAGCTGAAAAAAATATATCATGAAAAGGAGCAAGCTCTTCAAGAACTTGGCAACAAACTTAGCGAGTAATTTCTTTTTTCCTTCAACTAAGTAGTCATTGATTTTTATTAATTGTGCCAAACCAAATAGGCAGAAAAGTTTAAATATAGAAAAGAAAGATAAGAACTATAAAAAACAGCCCTAACAGGTTTGGCTCAGTGGATAGAGCGTCAGCCTGTGGACTCAAGGGTCCCAGGTTCGATTCTAGTCAAGGGCATGTACCTTGGTGTGTGGGCACATACCCAGTAGGGAGTATTGAGTCTGTAAAAAAATCAATAAAATATATATATATATTTTTAAAAAGAACTATTAAAAACAAAAACAAACATAAACTTTGAAGATTAATAAATAAGACTATAGGGTAGAGAGATTTTATTAAGTTTCCATATTAGATCTCGGCTCTGAACATTTTCTAGGAGATGAAAGCTAAGACTTTAATTTCTTTAAGTCAGAGTATTCAGGAGTTATATTTTTCTCAGAACAACAGAAGCCAGGTTTTAAAAATATCCGGAGACAGCTTTTGCAGAGAGTTTTGAGAAGGAGCCAACATTGTGGAGTGAGGGCATGGCTTCATACGGTGTGGTTGGTTTGAAATGTTACTGGGTTCCTACAAAGACAAGAGAAATGGTTTCACATATTCCTCCGTGTTCCCTGAGGTCTGCATTTTTCTTAAGATGGGATTCCATTAAGAAGTTTTGAAACCAGTTTCAAGAGCAGGGGAAAGAGTAGTTCACTAAAACCACAAAAGGGAACATTAGCTTTCTAACAGTTTTTATTTCTTCAAATTCAAAAAAACAGCTGCATTGTGACTCTGGCATCCATAGACTTAGCACTTTGAGTCAGACCCAGTGCTAAGTGCTTATTACCTTTCTTCCATTCACTCATTTGATAAATACTTGTTGATCTTCTGCTATGTGTCAGGCACTATTCTAAATGCTAGGGACTCAACAATGAAGAGGTCCTACAACAAAAAATGTTTACATTTAGTAAGATCATAAAGGTTTAATATTACAACAGATTAGAATAGTTAAATAAGGAATGTGTCTTACTTTTCACCCATCTCTTTCAACACAAGAAATTATTAAAAGCATGATCTTTTGACTGTTCAGATAGCTGAATTCAGACTTGTTTTCTTTTGTTTCTCAGATTTTAGTTTTCATGAAAATTACTGCTCAAGGTCAGATACTTAGTCTATACAGAAATTGATTGACACCGGTTTGGCTCAGTGGTAGAGCGTCAGTCTGTGAACTGAATGGTCCCAGGTTCGATTCCGGTCAGGGGCATGTACGTTGGTTGCGGGCACATCCCCAATAGGGGGTATGCAAGAGGCAGCTGGTCGATGTTTCTCTCTCATCGACGTTTCTAGCTTTCTGTCTCTCTCCCTTCCTCTCTGTAAAAATCAATAAAATATATATATAAAAAAAAATTGACTAAGGAATTTTCAAGGATTATTTTGACTACTACATGTTTTCATTGTAAACTGAATTCTTAACCCCTGTGTAACTCAGCTATATGCATGCTTTTCTGAAGTTTGTGCATTTTTTTACTTAAGAATATGTTTTAGAAGTTTTTCCATCTCAATACATAAAGATATTCCTAAGGATGAATGTGCTATCATTTTTATTTGTTTATATTTATTGATTTAGAGAGGAAAAAAGAGAAAAACATTGATTTAAAATATATATATATATATATATATATATATATATATATATATATATATATACACACACACACACACACACACACACACACTTTATTGATTTTAGAGGATGAGAAGGAGAGGGAGAGATATCAATGATGAGAATCATTGATTGGCTCTTCAACCCAGGCATGAATCCTTGATAGGAATCGAACCTGGGACCCTTCAGTCTTCAGACTAATTCTCTATCCAGTGAGCCAACCCAGTTGGGTGAGAAAAATACTGATTTGTTCCACTTATTTATGCATCTATCGATTGATTCTTGTTTGTGCCCTGACTGGGGATCCAACCCACAGTCTTGTTATATTGGGACAACACACTAACCGAGTCTCCTGGCCAGGGCCACGAGTGTGCTATCATTGAAACTGTTCCTGTTTTTAAAAAACTGTTTCTGATTTTTATTTTATTTTTTAAACTTTCTTTTCTTTTTTTAAATATATTTTATTGATATTTTATAGAGAGGAAGAGAGAAGGATAGAGTTAGAAACATCGATGAGAAACATCGATTAGCTGCCTCCTGCACTCCCCCCAATGGGGATGTGCCCGCAACCAAGATACATGCCCTTGACCGGAATCGAACCTGGGACCTTACAGTCCGCAGGCCGACGCGCTATCCACTGAGCCAAACCAGTTTCAGCCTGACTCTAATTTTTAAATAACCCTGCCTGGCCAGCATGGCTCAATGGTTGAGCGTTAACCTATGAACTAGGTCACAATTCAATTCCTGGTCAGGGCACATGTCTGTGTTGCAGGCTTGATTCCTCCCAGGGGGATCATGTAGGAAGCAGCTGATCAGTGGTTCTCTCTCAACATTGATGTTTTTATCTCTCCCTTCCTCTCTGAAATAAGTAAAATACTTAATTAGAAAAACAATATCACCCAAAGATATGTCGTATGTATATGTTGATATTATCATGATATACTTTATTAATGAGTATATCTAAAAAATTTATAGAGATGAATCCTGGGCCAAAAAGAATGTGCTTTCAAATTTTTTTGATGGTGCCAAGTTACCCATCGCTTCCAGTATTAAACCCTTCCCCAGAAAGTAGGAGAGAATGTTTATTTTTTGCAGTTTGATAATTGAAAATACTATTTATTTTTTTAAAATATATTTTATTGATTTTGTACAGAGAGGAAAGGAGAGAGATAGAGAGTTGGAAACATCGATGAGAGTCATCGATCAACTGCCTCTTGTACACCCCCTACTGGGGATATGCCCGCAACCAAGGTACATGCCCTTGACCGGAATCGAACCTGGGTCCCTTCAGTCCCCAAGCCGACGCTCTATCCATTGAGCTAAACCGGTTTTGGCCAAAAATACTATTTAAACTTCTTTAACTATGAGCAGGGTTGAACTTCTGTTTGTGTTTCATTTGTATTATAGTTTATATTCTTTGCACATATTTTGGTTGGATGGCTTATCTTTTTCTTATGGGACCTTTGTAAATTAATTGTACACAGCATACATCTCCCCCCCCCCCTTTGTCATTTGTCTTTTTACTTTATTTAGGATATATGTAGTTTTTTCCTTGCTGATGTTTGAATTTTTATCAGCAGCTTTATCAGTTTTCCTTTTCTGTTTATGAGACCGACAGTCCCTAAGATATGGGTAGGGCCAATTTTGAGTCAAAACACATTCTACCTTTGTCAACGTTAGTCCTCTTCTGCAGTGATGAGAATTTAATCTGGACTGGTGGAAGGACCAATTGCCCTGTGTTTTCCCAGACTGTATCAGTTTATCTGCTGAAATACTCTTCGTTTTCATCCTCTAATCCTATGATTACATGTTATCAGGTTGAATTAAGTAAAAATAAATTCCTCCCTAATACAAAGGATGATGAATATTGCTTTAAAAATTTGTTGATGATGAGGGCCCAAGGTTGGCTCAGTAATTTAAAACTTTTTTTTTTGAGTTCAGAGAAGGGAGAGGGAGAGAAACATTAATGAGAATCATTGATCGGATGTCTCCTGTGTGCCCCACACAGAGATTGAACCTGTAAACCGGGCATGTGCCCTTACTGGGAATTGAATCGTGACCTGGTTCCTAGGTATATTCTCTACCATTGAGCCAAGCCGGGCTGATAGCCCTTTTCTTTAGGATATTTGGCAGTTTGTATTAGAGAGAGGCAAGATTTTTAGAGTCCATGTTTGTGAATAAAGGTATTTTAACTAGCAATATAAAAAGATAAAAAAAATTTTTAAATGGTGATGGAAGATGATTTGACTTGGGGTGGTGGGCATACAATGCAGTATACAATCATGTGTCATAGAAATGTACACTTGAAACCTATATGATCTTATTAACCAGTGTCACCCAATACCTTCAATTAAAGTATTACTATTATATCTTCCATAATTTCTCTTTTGCACCTGTTAGTCACATAATGTGTATGTGTTAGGCAGCATGTGGACTTTGTGGTCACACAGACCAGGGTTTGACTCCAGGCTTCTCCAGTTACCACTTCTATGACTTGTTACAAATGACTAAACCTCATCAGAACTCACCTTCTTCATCTTTAAAATATTAAAAAAAAAAATCAAATGAGATTATGAATGCAAAGTTTATAGCATAGTGTCTGGCATACCATAAGCCAAATATGATTGCTAATACTAATTTCATAATCACATGAAAATGTCAATATTCTTTTAAAAAGCAATTTTTAAATTTAAATACATTTTTGCTTTCAGACAAAATATAGGAAAATGTAAAATATAATCCCACTAGCCAAAGATTATTAGAATCATGTATGATACACAATTTTATATTATGTGTAAAAGCAGTACCTTTCTAGTGAATTGCTAAATGTCCTATATTTAAATATGTGTATTGAAATTTGGACTTATTTGTAATCTTTTTAGATCAAAACTTAAAATAGAAGATATAAAAGAAGCCAACAAAGCATTGCAGGTGAGTGGAAAGTGTTTTCCACATATATATAATCTCCATCCATCCATCCCAGTCCCCTCAGCTCCCAGCTACCCAAGGCCGCCCAAGGCTTGCACTGCTGGCAGTGGCAGCAGCAGAGCTGTGATGGGGGTGTCACCTTCCCCTGAACTCTGGGTCGCCTCCCGCCCCTAAGGGCTCCCGGATTGTGAGAGGGGCAGGCTGGGCTGAGGGACCCCCCTCCAGTGCATGAATTTTCATACACCGGGCCTCTAGTGTAAAGTGTTCAGTAGAAGGTAAAGACATATAAATATAAGGTATATTATTGAATCTCAGGATTTATAGAGGTAGAAACACTGGGGAGTCTGAGTGATGGGGGTTTAGCTCTTCCCTATACTTTTGGAACCACATTTTAATTTTTTTCATATTGGAAATGACCTTGGAAATACTTTTTTCCTACAAAGTGTGGCATGACAGAATGAAATTGCCTTTGAATTGGAGAGTCATTGATTTCTTATGCCAGTATATTACTTACTAGTCATTGATTTCTTATGCCAGTATATTACTTACTAGTGTTTCTTCTTCTTTAAATGGGCTTATGAATCAAACATAGGGTTGCTTTGAATGTTGGGTAGGCCAAGATATGTGAAAGTGATTGGTATAATTTATCAGTATATGGTTCTGAATGTGTTTGATGGATGAATCCCTTTTACAACACAGAACATAGTCTGAGTACTTCAGTGACAGATGGCTTCCTTCTGCATAAGCTACCCATTTTGCTTTTTTATCAAAGTATTACTTGATAATAATGTAAGTCGGATAGTGTTAGAAAATAATTATGGTAGCAGTCGTTTGTTCTTCATCCTCATCCCTCATGCACCGTAGGTCCATCCTTGTAAATGGAACTACTTCCATTTCTTGTAGTTGTTCCTTCAGGCATTTATCTGTGTTTCTAAGTAATATGCAGTACACAGGCAGTCCTCAGTTAGGTCGGACTCAATGTATGTTTTGTGGTTATGTCGCCATCTCTCATTTATAAAAAGTTTCATTGTGATGTATGTTCATTTTTTATTTACCACAAGGTCAGGAATTGTTATCTTTTAAATTTACTGTTTCATTTCATTATTACTGTGTATGTGCTCCATGTGAGTGAGGTAGGTATTTATGTATGTGGGTTCTGAAAATTGCATTATGTTACACAGTAGGAATATATCTGACATCACCCAAGGATCTACTGTATGTTGTTTGTTCTTTAAGATCTATTTTAGACCTATTACCTGGTTAACTTCTGGTGTGTCTTCTTTCACTGTCCTCCCAAGTTTAATTAAAATTTTTGTGGAATTCACTTCACATTCTCCCCTCCGCACCCACTTAATATTCTTTATTACAACTAAATATTGTTCTTTGCTAGGCCAAGTAATATATTGTAATCATACTTTTTTCAGCTACTTTTTATTTCTCAAGCTAATTGCTTTTTTAAAAAAATTTAGTTGTATTTGAATATTAGCATTTTCTTATACCTGTGTAAAATGCTGCTTAATATTTTGCACATGGTAAATTTATCAGGTAATGTTTGTTCTTTTTCCCTCAGTCATGCTCTCTGCTCTACTGCCGTTCTTAGAATTCCTTTTTCATGTTAGAACTCCTATTTTTATTTATTTATTTTAATAAATTTTCATTGTTCATGTTATTACAAATGTTCCTCCTCCTCCCCCTCCATTGCTCTCCTCCACCAGGTTCCCACCCCACCCTCTGTCCTTTTCCTCACCCCCCATTGTCCTCATCCATAGGTGCACAGTTTGTGTTCAGTCTCTTCCCACAACCCTCTCCCCTTTTCCCTAAGAATCGTCAGTTCACTCCCCTTCCATACCTCTGATTCTATTCTATTCAACAGTTAATATTGTTCATTTTTTTTTAATTTCCTTGGTTTTTTAGATTCACTTATTGATATTTATTTGTTGTTCGTAATTTTTATCTTTATTTACTTTCTCTTCTGAAAGAACCCCCTTCAGCAATTCATATAATTCTGGTTTGGTGGTGATGAACTCCTTTAGCATTTTTTTTTTTTAATTATTATTAGTGAAGCTCTTTATCTGACCTTTGATTCTGAGTGATAGCTTTGCTGGATAGATTATCTTTGGCTGTAGGTTCTTACTATTCATCACCTTGAATATTTCTTGCCATTCCTGTCTGGCCTGCATGGTTTCTGTTGAGAAATCAGCTGACAATCATATAGGTGCTCCTTTATAGGTAACTATCTGCTTTGCTCTTGCTGCTTTTAATATTTTCTCTTTGTCTTTTGCTCTTGAAATTTTAATTATGATGTGTCTTGGTGTGGTCCTCTCTGGATTCCTTTTGTTTGGAGTTCTGTGCGCTTCCTGGACTTGTAAATTTCTTTCAGTATGTTTTCAATATCTTGTTCTCTCTCATCTTCTGGGGCCCCCATAATTCTGATGTTGGTTCGCTTGAAGTTGTCCCAGAGGTTTCTTACATTATCTTCAACTGTCTGGATTCTCTTGCCTTCTTGCTTCTGTGGAGGAGTGTCTTCTGGCTCTTTATGTTCCAAATCTTTGACTTGATTCTTGAGATCTTCCATTCTGTTTTTAGGACTCTATAATATTTTTTATTTCAGACAATGTATTCATTATTTCTTGTTGATCCCTTATCATTTCTTATTGATTCCTTATTAATTCTAGTTGATCCCTTTTCATATCCTCATAGGTCTTATTGATCTTTTCTAGGAAATTCTTGAAAAATCATAGATTTGAACTCTATATCCAGTCACTTTTTGTCCTCCATTTCTTTCGTTTGTGATCTATTTCCTTGTTTCGGCATTTTCGAAGCGTCCCTGATGGGGCGAGGTTTCAGGGTGGAGCCTACAGCCTTGGCTTCTGTTGGCGTTGGCCCCACCCTATGCAGCTCCTGGATCTCAGGGTCCTTCAGTACTTGTTGCAAGCGCCTCTGAGAGAAAGGTGCCCTCGGTTAGGGCAAAACCACAAGCCACTTTCTACTAAGGTTTACACAGTAGCTATTAAATTTGTATTATAGAACTTGAGGGAAACTAATGGCCATGTGAAACTGAATTTAATGTGTTAGTCTTAAATACCGATTTCCAAATTCTCTTCAAGGTTTTTGGGAATTACTTTATAAAGTAAACCTAATGCCAAACTCAAATGCATTTCCATGAAAATTTGCTCTTAATTGTTGTTAGTCTAATCTTTAAGGTCCTTTCCTTAAAGAAAACTGCCATTAGTAATAGGTTTTTATTTAAAAAATCTTTTCATGAAAATATAAGCATATGTAATTGTAAAATAAAAACAAACCATTGCCGAAACCGGTTTGGCTCAGTGGATAGTGTGTCAGTTTGTGAACCGAAAGGTCCCAGGTTCGACTCTGGTCAAGGGCATGTACCTTAGTTGTGGGCACATCCCCAGTAGTGGGTGTGCAGGAGGCAGCTGGTCAATGATTATCTCTCATCGATGTTTCTAACTCTCTATCACTCTCTTTTTCTCCCTGTAAAAAATCAAAATGTATTTTAAAAAAGAAAAACCATTATCCACTATATGTGACCAATCTTACATATATATACACACACAACCCACATCCTGTCCCTCGTATGGTCATTTTGAAACAAGGCCACACATTTAATTTACAACTATTTCAGTATATCTCAAAGAGAAAGGAATCATCTAAAAAATTTTTACTTTTGAGAGAGGGATAGAACCATCAATGAAAATCATTGATCAGCTGCCACCTTAATGGGGATGGAGCCCACATCACAGGCCATTCCCTGATGGGAATGAAACCTGTGACCTCCTAGTTCACATGTCAATAATCAGGAAGCCACACAGGCCGGGCGAGACTAATTGTTGGTTCTCCACCTGTATACATTCCTATGAAGTGTTCTTGGTTAAAAACGTTTCCACATGAAACTTAGTGTTGCCAATTTGAATATTATGTTATTTTTTCTCCTACTAGGGACTGGTTTGGTTGAAAGACAAAGAAGCAACACATTGTAAGCTCTGTGAAAAGGAGTTCTCACTCTCTAAGAGAAAGGTAAGGGAAGTAGAAAGTGAGTCCAAAAGTTTCAGTGCAAATATGGCTGTTAATTTTATTCATTTTTTTTCTCTTCATTTCCATTAATAGCACCACTGTAGAAATTGTGGGGAAATTTTCTGTAATGCTTGCTCTGACAACGAACTGCCTTTGCCTTCTTCACCAAAGCCAGTACGGGTTTGTGATTCCTGTCATGCGTTGCTGATTCAGAGATGCTCATCTAACTTGCCATAAAGCGAAATCATTGTATGGAAGTACTAATGATAAATGTTATGTATGAACAAGTGCACAACATAGACAGCCCTTCTTAAGCAGCTTTCAGACAGTATTGGTACCAGTTTTATTTTTCACATCTTCAATTATTGGGAATTAAAAAGTTGTATAATTTGTTATTTACTTTCCATTTTTAAAGAAGAATTTCAACAGGGCATGCTTTAAAATAACCTAATTCCTAGTTCATGTAATAATCATGTAACTCTTAACATTGATAAGGCCAGATAGCATAGCTAACACAGTTGCCTTATTTTATAAAGGCCTTCTTAAAAATAGGGCTTCAGATTTTCTTCTCCAAATCGCCAAGTTGATATCTGATGGTGCCTATAATTTTTTTTAATGCACTTTAAAGCTTCATGGTTCTCAGAGAAAGATGGGAAATGTGTAGAATTTTTTGTTAACATTCCAATTCAACAGATTTTCAATTAGCTTCGTAAGGTGTCAACTATATTCATTTGGCCCTTTGCTCATGTTGCATTAGAAAAGGCCAGTATTTTATGCTATATGGTCTTGCTCCTAAAACTAGTGCTGTGGTTGCTATCTTTCAGATACAGCGGGTTAAAGGTTTTGCCTCAACCTTTTCCTTATTTTGAAAGTAAATTTAAATCATTCTTTACCTTAAGTTGCTACTTGCAGATCTTTCTAGTAATTTTTTAAGCATTAATATTGCAGTGGTTTGCTACTGCATATATAATAAAAAAAAAGGACCACATACTGAGCACCTCTAAACCAGGGTTGGTTAGCAGATGAAGATGTGGTCTCAGCCCTGCCACGAAATACATACTTGAACCATTTCAAGCATGAGATTGAATAAACACTAGTCTCATTGTATTGCTTATAGCATATACAAGAATTTGTGAAAAGCAAGCTACCCCTTGTATACAATCACTTGAATGGCATCACTACTAGGGACCCTCCCCTCACCCCCCTTTTTTGGGTCAGATTTTAGCCATGCACTTTACCCCTGTGAACCTTTCAAACAATGTGATATTAGAATAATCTTACTCCTAGAAGCATTATATTTAGTGAATTTAATCATGGCTACACCCTACCCCCTAGGATGGGGTTACTTATTTTGCAGGATCTTTTCCCCAGAGTAGATACTTTCATTAAGTTTAAAAATTATTTTTTTAAATTGCCAAAACATGAAACTAGTATTTTACTTAACAGATTTTCTTCGTAATTCAATTTGAGGTCTTCTGGCAGAACGACAGATTTTTAGGTGGTCTTTCTTGAACGCTCTGACAGAAGTGTTGAAGAGATAAATTATATTATTGAAACTGTTTTGTATTGCTGGATGAACATTTTTATACCACCAAGTGTTTTTTTAATTAATGTGCTTAGAACAAATTTTAAAAAAGTGATTTTTTGCTTAAATTCCAAGGCTGGCTAACTTTGATTTTTAATGCATCGCCACTGAGTTGGGATTTTTGTAGGTAAGCTTTTGACACAATTTGCTCCATTTAGTTTTAGCTTTTAAAAAACTAAACACACAGCAATTTTGAAATTTATGTTACTTGTGAACCTACACTTGTTTTTCCAGGAAGATTTGCAAACTTCACATACCATTCCCCCTAGCCAGTACTACCACAAGAATGCTATCATGGTGCCAAGGAATTGTGATTATAATCCTTCTCCCCTGTAATGTTTTAAAATAAAATGTGAATTTTATAAAACAAATAAAAGATTTGAAAACTTATCCTGCTTTAGAAGAGCAATTTTCATTGATAACGTTTTACTCATGGGAAATAAAAACATGTGATCTCTAAAGGGACTAAAAGGGATAGTTTAAGAGAGTAGGTACAGGCATTAAGATGAAACGTTGCTTAGTTGACAGGCTATCATAACAGCTACCTTCTCTAAAGCAGAAATCACTCCTTAGGAGTCACTGTGTCTTATCTTCAGTAAGACATATTTTAATATATGATCAGTAATTGACACAAAGCATTCTAGGACAGAAGCCATACTATTATCTCCCACATTAATATTTATTACATTCTAGTAAAAACAAGTAACAAATTCAATAACTGAATTCACATTAACAGGTTTCATTTTGATCCATTAGCCAATCTGGAAAAAAGCCATATTGATCAAAGGGATTAAAAGTAAAAAGCACCTTTTCCTTGCTACATATAATATTTAACACAATGGCCCTGAAACTCCAAACAGCTATCTTAAGACTACAACATGGATTTGTCTCTTACATTTTTAAGGGTTATACAATTATTAAAAAAATGTTTTAACTATTTGGCTTAAAATGAAAATATACCTGTGAAAACTATACTCCATAGTTAATACCTTTGTACTGAATTCTCATGTCATTTGGAACCTTAACCTAGTCTAAACTTGAGATAACTTACAACTATCACTTTTTAGAAACATTTTTTGGTACTTCAGTCAAGTGTGAGGGGATTTTATTCTAAAATCTAGTGCTAGAATTTAAACTTCCATCCTTGGTAACACCATTATGAATATTGAGAAATTCAGATACCTCATCAACATTTCAGAGCTATGCCTGATAAGTGACATTTGAAGATTAACATAGAATTAACAGAATTTGTACTCTTGAGCCCGTCTAAACCCATATTTAGGTTTTATATTTACAGTATTGTTCAGGAGAAATTGAAGTTATTACACTTTTTCAAGCTCTATTCCATGTCTCATTAAGATTTGCAGCTTATGCAGATGTGTGAACTATTGTTCTCTAAAATTACAACTACTTCTTGTAGAGCTAATAATAAAATACACCAACCCAATCTTATGAAAGCAGCACATTGTTAGGAGTAATTAGTATATAAAAAGTATCAACATCAGTGGTTTGAATATAAAAATTTATTTTAAGTGAAAGAATGCAACAAATAAAACCTACAGAAACAGATTTTCCCATCACAATCTGTTGCTTTACCAAATGAGATTTGAGAAAACATTCCTTCAGTCATTATAAAGTTCTTAAAATACAAAAGAAATTAAATCTGTAAGAAAGTCTAGTAGACCAGATTCTGTTGTCAGGACTATTATGTTGGTGGTTTTGCTCTAATACATCCCACGCCATCCACCTCCACTCATGCCACCTTGCCCATAGTAACCTCCACTTCCTCCACCACCACGACCTTAGAAAAAAAGACATTGGGTGTTTAATAAGAGGTTACCAAAGTAGAAGACAGTCTACACCACATATGGGGGCTAATAAACTGAACCAGACACTTACCATAACCACCCAGGCCATCAGGAGTCCCGTATCCTCCACTGTAATTGTTCCCCATTCCCATTCTTCCAACAGATCCATAACCACCCTGATTATCTTTAAAAACAAAACAAACAAGTTTGAGGTTGACTACTAAGTGTCTAACTCAACTCCATTTACTTTACAAAACTATACATACCCATTCCATCTCTGCCATAGCCTCCCATTCCAGAACCTCCCATTCCAGAGCCGCCTCCAGGAGTGGAATTCAAGAAGAGTTCAATGTATCGATGTTCTTTAGAAAAAAAGAGTAATAGGGAAAATGGATCAAATTTATCAAAGCATAAACAGGCTGACTACCTAATATTAAACCTAAGTATGTTTACAGATTCTGAGGAGAGTGATAAAACGAATGCTGGTCAGAGATAAAATCTAGTTTTGTTCAAACTATATAATCTTTAATAAGTTTCCTTATCTATAAAAAGGACTGATACGTTATTTCAGAACCAGCTGGTACACTTCTTAAAAATATATTACAGGCCAAAACCGGTTTGGCTCAGTGGACAGAGCGTCTGCCTGTGGACTGAAAGGTCCCGGGTTCGATTCCGGTCAAGCGTATGTACCTTGGTTGTGGGTACAAAGGCGGCTGATCGATGTTTCTAACTATCCCTCTCTCTTGTAAAAAATCAATAAAATATATTAATATATATATATATATATATATATATATATATATATATATATATATATATATATATATATATATTTATTACAGGCCCAATCATAGGACTGAATTAGAATCTTAATAGTAATGCCCAGGAAAACTTTTTAAGTACTCTTTTTAAGTGATTTAAAACGTTTTTAAGTGATTGATGTGTAGCCATATTTGGGAATAACTGGTCGAAGTACAATTAAATGGCCTAAAAAACTGATTTGATGACATAAAGGAATAACTTATCCAAGTTGATCAACATATATGTTAAGAAGATGTACTGTCCAGCTGGTGCTGCTCAGTGGTTGAGCGTCAACCTATGAACCAGGAGATCAGTTTGATTCCCAGACAGGGTACATGTAAGCTCGGTCCCCTAGAGGCAGCCAATCAAGGATTCTCTCTTCCTTCCTCTCTGAAATCAATTTAAAAAAAATTTTTTTTTAAAAGTGATACCCATGGGCAAAAGGCATGAAACTCAGACAAGTAACATAGCTATTCCCCCTTTTAACAACTTAAGCGATAATTACCTGTCAAGTATTAAGAATCTGAATTAATGCTTCAATATAAAATATAAAGTTGCCTAGAAAGCTATGAAAGTCTGAACTTATAACAAACAAGCTCACACCTAGGAAACAAACTAGCATGCCAAGGACACTACTTACGCATGTTATTCTTATCTTTAGACATGGCAGCTACTGCATCTTCATGTGTCACAAACTCTACGTCTGCTTCTCCTGTTGCTCTGCCATCAGCTCCAATATCAATATGCACTCGTATTGGATTTAGTGGTGAGAAGAACTAAAGAAAAACGTATTACTTTTTTATTACCAAAATCACCAGATGCCTTTTTGTTCATTGAAACAACCCTTCTACTGCCCCATCAGTAATTATAAAATTCTTAAAATAGGCTAACAATTACACCAACACTAAAGGTTCTAAGAATATAAGACCACACTTAGGAAAATACAGATACCTGGAACTTAGGCCAAGAAGGTTCCCAATTAAGAGTTAGAGCAAAAATTTTCTTTAAAAGCTATACAGTAAATACTCTTGGCTTTGTAGGCC